TACATTTAAACTTGCAATTCATCACACTATTTGGGGGGATGGAGGGATAAGGAATTGGAAGTATTATTTCAGGGCAAAGGTTAATAGCCAACTACTGGAAATGTTTTATCAGACATAGGTAATTAATTAGTATATGTTAAACACAGAAGTGACAAAAAGAACAAAATACTTTCTAAATGGGTAGATTTTGTTGTGTATTTTTTTTCCAGATTCACTTTTTGACTCATGCAAACTGTGCTAAGAAATTAGGTTTTGATAATTACAAAGAATATACTGAAAAGGGTTTTTATAGATAGATGTATTCCATATATTTATTTGATCCATATATTTATTATATCTTTGCTTTAATGTGACATCAAGATTTTAGTCCACAGAAGTTGAAGAGTGGGCAGAATTGCTTGTTATTTTTTATAACCAATTAAGTAATTCTGCGCTTTCATATATGTAAGAGTTAGTATGGCCCAGTGCACCAGGGTAGAAAGCTGCAGTGGATTCCTCAGAGCAGCAACATTTTTCTTCCCAAGCTTTTACAAAAAGAACAAAAATCTTGGGTACTTTAATGAATAGCACAGAGCTTCTAGCTTTAGGCTGACTTACTGTGCTCTTATCACCAAGAAAAAAATTGCAAATAAGTCTTCTCTTCTAAACTGTATTTTCATTTTTTAGAAAACTTTTTTAAGCAAAGGTGCTTGCTTACTGTATTGAAATGGGCAAAATGCTTGGCAACTATGGGAAAACATGCTGATCTTTTTGTCTAAATCAGAGCTTTTCAACCTTTTCATCCATTGTAACACTTTTAGGATATGTCAATATCCGAGTACCACCAGTCGCCTAGCAAGGTGTCAAAAACTTGATGACCAAAAAAAGAGGAAAAAAGTGATAAAGTACAGGTAGTCCTCAACTTTCAACAGTTCGCTTAGTGCAGTGGTTCTCAACCTTTCTAATGCCGCGACCCCATAATACAGTTCCCCATGTTGTGGTGACCCCCAACCACTTATACATCAGCGGGTGCCAGGGGCGTGGCCAAAGAAAAGGGGAAAAAATGGCGGACAGCCTTGTTTGGCGATCCCCGTGAAATGGTCATTCGACCCCAAATGGGGTCCCGACCCACAGGTTGAGAACCACTGGCTTAGTGACTTTTTGAAGTTACAATGCACTGAAAAAAGTGCCCCCGAAGCCACAGCCAAGCAAGACACCTGCCTGCCCACCCGGCGGCGCTCTTCTTCCTGTCCGAGATTTTCATTGTTGTGAGCATTTCTGTTGAGGATTGGCAGCGGGAGTGGGGTGGGGATATTTTATTCCCCCCATCTGCTGGGTGGTTGCAGCAGGTTTTTGTCATTTCACATGATCCTGGGACACTGTGACCATCATAAATATGAATCAATTGCCAAGCATCTGAATGTAAATCACAAGACCCTGGAGATGCTGCAACGTTCTAGCTGATCGGCGCTTCTTCTGGGCTCAGCAGAAGTGCCAGGATCAGTGCTGCTTTCCATCTGATTGGCGCTTCTTCAGGGCTCAGCCGGGGCCTGGTGCTGATCCTGGCATGCCCACTGAGCCCTGACAGCCCTGAAGAAGTGCCGATCAGCTGGAAAGCGGCACTGATCCTGGCGCTTCTGCTGAGCCCTGACAGCCCTGCAGTTCCAGCAATCTCTCGCTCAGGCTTGTGCGGTGCTGCCACCAGTTCAGCTCATTCCCCTCCCCCGCTACTGCTTTTTTAGGATGGTCGCATACCACCTGCCAGATGCCAATGTACCACAGGTGGTACCTGTGGTTGAAAAGCCCTGGTGTAAATAATATATACAGTATATATTAAAAACATAATTTTTCACTGGATAATGTACCTGTCATGGATATTTGTCATCCAAGATTAACAGGAATCAGTCCAAAAGAAAACCTAGATAGTTAGATACTGTAGATAGATAGATGGATGGATGGATGGATGGATAGATAGATAACTTTTATTGTTATTTTTTACTGTGAGCACAATGGCACACATTAAAAATGAAATTTACAGTACTTCCTTGCTCTCAAAGTGTAGACATACATAACACACATTTAAACATACTATATACCAGGACTTTTCAACCGGTGGTACGCGTACCACTTGTGGTACATTAACGAGTGGCAGGTGGTACGCAGCCCTGCCTAGCCAAATGTTGTGGGGCAAGGAAAGAGCCAGTGCAGGCCCCAGGCTCACTTCTGGCTCACCCTCCCCCATGAGAAAGGAGCGGGGGTAGAGACAGGAGAGGCTATAAAAGGAGGCAGTTGGGTTAGAGAGGAAGAGAGAGAAAAAGAGCAGCAGCCTTGGGAGGAGGCAGAGTCAGCTCTAGCTGCACCAAAAGGAAAGAAGAAGGAAGAGGAGGATGGGGGGAGAGGAGAGGATATCAAACAGGCCAGCCATGAGCTGATCTACAACTGCTGTGGCAGCCACCTGTGCTGGCAGCAGCAAACAGGCAAGAAATGCAGTGGGGGAGGGGTCGCCCTCCAAGAGGAATGAAAAAAGGCAGCAATGACAAGGTGAGGCACAGAGGAGGGATGCAGGGAGGGAGATGGAGTGTGGAAAGATTCTTACCTGCTTTTGTTACTTTGAAGTTCTAGGATTTGTGCAATGTGGGCTTTGTGTTCTTAAGGAGTGTTTGGCAATTTCTATTTGGCTGATGGCTGATGTCTCGTGTTAGCTTCTATTGCTCTGCTATTGTTAGCTGTAAGTTTTGCTGTAAGGGATTTTGAAGTATTTTTCTCCTGAATGGATTTTGTCTGTAGCATTCCTTTACTTATGAATGGAGCCATTTGGGGAGGTTGCCTTAGCCAGCAGCCAATACTTACCACATTTTGTTTCTTCCTTAAGTGCTGGCTGCGCTCCTTAACTTTCCTTTCTAGCCAATAATTAATTCTTAAAGGGGAATGTTCCTTTTTAAGATAGTTTACTCAGCAATTTGTCTTTTCTGTCTCTGGAGGCTTTTCCTTGTTTGATGAATATATGGAAGAAAGAAAATATGGGGGGAGGGTTTTCAAATTCTTCCTTCAGAAGGAGGTGGGCATGAGAAAGAGAGAGGCAGGGAAGGAGGGAGGGAGGCAGGGAAGGAAGTCCCGCCTTAGCACTTGGCCGCCAGCAGCCCTGCCATTTACTTTGCTTGTCAAAAGGTTGCAAAAGGGGATCATACGACCCTGGGACACTGTGACCATCATAAATATGAATCAGTTGCCAAGCATCCAAATATAAATCACAAGACCTTGGGCATGCTGCAATGGTCATAAGTATGAAAAATTGTTATAAGTCATTTCAGTGCAATTGCAACTTTGAATAGGGATTTATTTTTTTTGGGTCTTCAAATTTTTGACACCTTGCTAGGTGGTACTCGAATATTACCATATCCTAAAAGTGGTACAATCGGTGAAAAGGTTGAAAAGCCCTGCTATATACAACCAGTGCTTTTTTTCTTTAAAAAAAAAAAGGTGCCAGAACTCATACACGTCATACAACCCGCCTTGCTTACTCTACAAGTTCCATACAAAAAAGGTGCCGGAATTCCATTCTGGGCGTTCTATGAGAAAAAAAAGCAACATATGTATAAACCCACACCCTTATAAGTTTATAAGTAACATATAAATATTAATCACTGTCCATCTTGAATAGATAACGCACACTGTTCTACTATTCTATGGAATGTTTCTACTTGGCACTAAAACTAAGATATTTATTTACATTTTTATTTCTGATACTTGGCAGTTCCCAGGGTCTTTTCAGTGGTTGCTCATACCATTTATCACTGTGTTTTATCTACAATTTATAAACATCTAGAATGTTTTATACTATCAATAGAAAACTATACTATCAAGATTTTCATTGATTTTTTGTTAATGGTTGTTACAGTTTAATCTGTGGATTAAACAGGATTTGTTCTTGTGTTTTAGTTTTTTATTACATTGTAAATTGTCTTAAAGGCTTGGTCTTCATAAGTAGTATTTAAAAATAGAACCTTAATATTAACAATACTTTTAAACTATTCTATAATTAAAACATTCTAGCATTTAAACCTAAATTGCCATGGACAATTATGTATCAGTTTCGTGTTTGTCTTGAGGCAATAGATTGATAAAGCTAAACATTGGTGTTCTTTGTCATGTTTGCTCAGTTTAAATATAAAATATAAAAAAATAATGTTATTGATATAATTTAAGATTAACATTTGCTAGAGTTCTCTTGGGACAATTTTTTGGCATACTTTCAAGCTTGCTTTTTACTAGAATATATCTGGGTTAAAGCAGGTGCTTTTATACATAGTTTGCATGGATATGCAACATTGTTGAAAAATATGATTTTGTTCATATAATCCTTAAAATAATAAATTTAATTTGCAATTTTTTTTTCAAAACCAGAAGATCTGAATTGGCTTGAACAGTATCAACATGTTTGATTTGTCTGCAGAAGCCCTCTGAGCCCTTAACAAGAAAGTACTCAGTAATGTTTCTCTGTAATGTTTCTTCAAATAGGTTGTATATTATATGATTAATATGAACTAGGTCTCTACTCAGGTTAGAGATAGGATACATTATCTAATTTTGAATTAAAGAATAATGTCATGATTCTTTTTTAAAAAAAATATGTAATACAAGTATGTTTTCCCCCTATCATACAGATATAGACTTAGATAAAAATCAGCAGTAGAGATACTATAGTAGACTGAACTCAAATAGCATGTTTTCTTTTCTTGTATCCTTAAATAATGAGGAGCTGCAGTTGCTTTCTCTTAACAACAGTTCAAAGTTTTCTTAATCTAGATATTTGTATATAGGTTGGTAAAAGTTCATGTTAAGTTTATAAACTTTTTTTTCCTATGAAATGTTTATAAGATTTTCAAGAAGAACAATGAAGTGAGATTGGGAAGAGATGTTCATCTTGTTCTCAATTTATTCAGTTGCTTCCAAGTAAAGCGCCTTGTGGCACCTAAATTTTTTATAAAGTTGCCTAATATTTTGCTGATCATTGTCTTAAGGGCTGGCTCTGCGAACTCTTGCGTTGGAAAGAAGATCCCTCACCTGAGAACAGAACTCTGTGGGAGAATCTGTCAATGATCCGGAGGTTCCTCAGTCTTCCTCAGCCTGAACGAGATGCCATTTATGAACAAGAAAGCAATGCAGTTCATCACCATGGCGACAGACCTTCTCACATTATTCACGTTCCAGCAGAGCAAATTCAGGTTAGTTTACTTTGACCAATTCATTTTAGGAGTAAGAAAACAAAACAATTTATTCTTAAGAGAAAACCATTCTCTTTCTTCTTGTTTTGTTAAATAGAAATGTTTTAGCATGAATTAAAACACTCATCCTCAGTAGAATATGTGACTTTTTTCTCAATACAAAGGCGTTTGTAAAAACTAATTTTAGAAGCTCTCTATTAGCAGATCTTCCATGTTCTGTTTTCAAAGTTCTTTTTAAACTTAAAAAATAATGGGTACATGCAAAAATTGCATAAAAGTGGGCTCACTAATAGAATATTGTATGTGCAGTTTCCAGCACTTTTTATACCAACAATTGGGTGGACTACTAAAAGTGATAACATTTTTTTTTTAAAAAATGGTGCATATACACACCTCTCACATGTCATAATCCATAAATGCATAATGCTTAGCTATTGTAGGTGTCATAGCTTTAAAATAAGTTCAGAGATTTATTTAAGCACAAAGAATAGGAATAGATTTGAAGCCAATTTTCTCATCCTACTTATCCTCAATTTGAAACTTAGGATGAGTCAATGTTTGTTTGTTTTTCCTTTAGAGCCCCTCTCCCACCGCCCTTGGGAAAGGAGAGCATAGAGGCGCTTTCTTACCTGCCCTGCTGACCACTGGACCTTGGCTGGGTGCTGCTCCTCAGGTGAGCTGGCACAAGATTAATGTGTAGGAGAGTTATGGAGAGGTTTTAGAACTTGATCCAGCTGTTTCCTTCCATTTATAAACAGATCAGAGTAAATTGCCTTTTTTAGGAATAGGTGAAGCTTAATTTTATTGTAACCCATCATGACAATGTCTTTAAAGGGCAAGTTTTAAAAACAAATTAAAAATAAATTGTGTCTTTTTAAAGTCCATTCTATTTAAAATTGGACTTTTTTTCTCTATGGAGATTCTCAGTCATCCAGGTCAGAGTTATGCCAAAGATGCTTTTTCATGAGGTAACTGGACTTTCTTGTTTTTCTTCGAAGATGTTTCAATTCTCATTCAAGAAGCTTCTTCAGCTCTGATTGGATGGTGAAATATGGGAAGATTTTTATACTTCTTGCAGACAGCTGCTCATTTGCATTCTTTTAGAGCAGACATGTCAAAACTCGCGATGTCACATGATGCTGCACAACATATCACGACTTTTTCCCCATTGCCGGCAATGGGGTGGGTGTGGGTTTGTTGTGATGCATCCAGCCTGTGGGCCGGCAATTTTACATGCCTGTTTTAGAGAATTGTTGAGGCTATCTGTGTGGTCAGGGTCATCTGAATAATGCAAATGGATGTGGAGCCTTCTTGGAACTGTTGAAAAGACTTTGTTGTAGACAGGAGATAGATGATACAGTGAGCCATGTGCCGATCTGTATATTGGGGAAACAAAACAACCACACCATAGGAGAACAAACCCATCAGAACAAGATTCAGCAGTACATCTGCATTTAAATGACAAGGAGTATAAAAACTCTTCCATTCCACACCATCCAGTTAGAGCTGAAAAAGCTTCTTGGATGAGAAGTGAAACATCTTCAAAGAAAAACAAGAAAGTCCAGTTGCCTTGTGAAAAAGCAATTTTTGGACTTTTTTTCTCTTTTTTTACAAGTAATGGAGAGTTACCTCATTACCCTAAGATTTTCAATCATGTATTATATTATAAAAGCTATTTATAACGCTTATCAGAAAGTCATTTATAGTTTTTCAAAAGTTAGCATGTAAAGCAAATGAAGCAATTGGATAGTGGTTGATCAAAACTGTAAAAGTGAAGTAGCTTACAATAAGTGATTTAGCCAAATATGGTAAACAAATAATTATATTACAAAGTGTTACTGCAAATGCCGGAAATTATACATTTGAATACACTTACCATTTGTAGAAATAGAAGGAAATAATTATGTAGCAATGTATTTCCAAGATCTATCCAACAGTTAGTAAAATTTCATTGATTTTTGTAGGTAAGACTAATATCTGCAACCTTTAAACATATTTGTTTAAAATAAATCCCTATTAAAATTAGTAGGTACCACTTCTAGTAATCATGGATGGGCACATTATTTATTTAATTATGCATTTTTATATCCCACTTCATATTCAAGGCATTCAATTTAAGAGTATAAATTAAAACATGAACATCAGTTAAAATTATAACTAATCCAACTCAAAATGCATGACAAAAAATCCAGTTTTGCTTGGTTTTGAGTATTAGCATAAAAACTAAAAAAAGTTGCTCAAATACACAAGACTCTGCCCTCATAATGTATAGTACTAGTAACTATTCTCAGCAGATTTTATGTTTTATACAAATAGAGATATATGTTAATGCAGAAGTTTTCATCAAAAATTAGAACTTGTGACGCTCCAGTTTTTATGAGCCCCAACCAGTTTAGCCAATAGACAGCAATATTGCAACATTGAACTCAGAAGCATTAAGCCAGCCACACATGTCCTGGTCAAGTGTTATGCTATTTGTCCAAAATAAAGAAGTGTCTTACTTGATACTAGAAGAGTATCAAGTAGAAGAGTTCTAGAATTATTAATTTCATATAAATACTTTATATTTTATTATATATGTGTCCCAGATTTTGTCCAAGTTTCTCAAAGTAGCTTCTTGGTAGTGTAACATTGTTTTATATCCACACACACACACAAACACATGCACACACACACACACACACACACAAAGAGAGAGAGAGACAGACAGTCCTGAGATAGATTAAACTTCATAAACTTTCTGACTCTAGTTGGCACTATCAGCACTGTCATACAAACACTCTCTTAACAATTGTAAATAAGAATAAATGTTAACATACAAAATATGCAACTGTCCTTTTTAAAAAAATAACTTCATTTATTTAAATGTCCTTTTATTCTGTTCCCTATCACAGAATATTTTGGAGGTTATTGATTATATTCTCATTGTTAATTGTTGTTCAGTGTAAGACTAGTAGTAAACAAAATATTTTTTTCTTTTTGGTAAAAGTGGTGTGTACTGTTTATTTTAGAGATTTAACTAGCTAAAGGTTCAGGACCAATCTGCCAATTGAAGTGTAATATACAACCAAGTGTGCTTTGCTTACAGTAATTTATCCAATATACAAGGTAGAAATGAAGTTCTATTACTTTTGAGAACTATGTACTGCAGTTGTGAGAAGAACTAAACATCAAATTAAACAATTAGCTTACAGATACTGATTTTGGTTCTTCGCAATAATTTGAATAATGATAGCTTCCATACAAGCAAAGGGACAATGAGGATACCCAGTGAGCATGCTCTGACAATTGGCAGCTTCCTTCACTGTCAATGTTTATACATTCAGACTGAACATCTCTAGAAGAAAATGTATTGCTGGTGAATTTTGCATAGTTAGGCTTCCCCAGCAAGTGTAATCTATTCTTTTAAACCATTTTAAAGTATAGGCCATTTTAATTAGTTATTCCTCTTTCACATAGCAGAATTGGTATTTTTTCAAACTAAACAAAAAGTCCTAGAACAGTGGTTGCGAACCTATGGTATGCGTGCCTGAGGTGGTACTCAGAGCCCTCTCTGTGGGCACATGTGCCATGCCCCGGAAATGGCAACTGATCCTCTTCAACCAGCCACCCGCTAACTCGCCGAGGTCCCACGTGGCCAGATGCATCCCGGCATGGCTGGTTTCCCTCCTCCCCATCCCATTCCTCTTGGCCTCTCATGCTCTCCATTTCCTGGGCACAACCCACTTCATCGCCTCCCCAACTGTCAGCCGGCCGTCCAGCTCAGAGGTGGCTTCTCTGAACTGCTGGTGGCAGGCTGCAGAGCCCCAGAGTGTGCTGTTTGACGGGCTGGCAGGCTGTGGCTGCTGACAGACACTGTCGACCCCCATGCACTTGCTGGCCTCTGTGTGCGAGGGCCGATGGTGTCGGGCAACAGCTGCCCTGCCTCGCCTTGCCCTTTGACAATGGCACTCCCGCCCTGCCTCACCATGCCTCGCCTCACCCCACAGGACGAGCCTCTTGCCCATCACCCCATCTGCCAGAGACCCCCTGGATCTCCCCCAACCCTGCCTGGCCCCCACAGCCATCCCTCCCCATGAGCAACATCGAGGTGACCACACCCACCTTGGCCACACCCATGCAGTCTGCCATGACCACCACAGCCATGCCCATCCAGTGGGCCATGCCCATCTGGCACCCGGCAATAAATAAATAGGTTTTGGGTTGCAGTTTGGGCACTCGGTCTCTAAAAGGTTCACCATCACTGCCCTAGAAATTTGATGTGGAACAATTTGGAAGCTGATGGAGGTTTTATGCTTCATGTTCATCATCTTTCTCTTCCATTCAATCCTGTCCAATTCTTAAAAATTGTTTGGACAAGTTACTAGAGTTTTTTTAATTTTTCAAAAGTGATTGTCCATTGTCTCCTTTCAAAGACTAAGCAAAAGTAATTGGCCCAAGGTCACCCAGCTGGCTTTATGCCTAAAGCAGAACTAGAACTCACCGTCTCCCAATTTCTAATCTGATACCTTTACTTTTACTACAAATTGGCTATTTTATCAACTTAATTACACAGGGTTTTTTCTTTTTTTTCTTTTTTGATAAAGTGGCTTGAAATACATAGGTGCAAGTTATTTGAAGTTTGCAAGAATTCAAAAAATGAATGCAGAATTTGATTTATACTGTGTACTAAAATTTGTTTGAATTATATTTTATTTATTTATTAAATGTATATGCATCCCATCTCATTAATCCAAGTGACTCCGTATAGCTACAATAAAATAAAAGCATAGGTATAAAAACATTAAAATCAAGATTAGAAAATCACTCAATTTGCCACATCCAGAATAGCATGACCCTATCAGAGCTCCAAGGTCCAGGTTTTAAGGCCAAAAGACCAGAGGCAGATCTTTCCTGAGGAGACAAAATATTCAAGAAGCTGGGTGCCAAGGTAGAGAAGACTTCATCAGTTGAAATGCCTTGACTGATGGAATCCAAAGAAGGCCCATTCTGCCAGTTCAAATAAGTCAAGTCAGTTCCATTGAGGAAGAACGTGTTTCAGATAACCTAATTCCATGCCATTAAGATTTTAAAAGGTAATAATCAATCCTTGAATTGGACCCAGAAGCAAACCATCAAATAATGTAGCTTGCATAAAGCAGTGTTATATGTGCTACCCTAGAGGCCTCCAGAACTGTCTGAGTTACTGCTTTCTTACTAGCTATAGTTTCCAAATACTCTTCAAGGGTAGCCTAATGTAGAACATATTGTGGTAATTCAACTGAGAGTTGACTAGGGAATGAGTGCAGGGCCTTGTGATCCATGAAAAGGTGCAACTGGTGCACAACACAAAGACTCTCCAAGACATAACTGCTACTTGCTCTGAGCTGGACTCGTGAATCTAGGAAAAACCCTAGATTGCACATGGCATGTACAAATACAAAGACGTATCTGCAACATTGTTTTAGAATCATAATGATAGAATGGAACATTAAGTCAGAAAGTCCTAATACCTTCCTTATATACTTAAAAAGTTATATTCTATCCCCCTCAATTATTTCTAAGAACACACTCAGTTCTCTCCTCATAAAAGACTATCACTGCTTCCCCATTGACTTTGCTTGTCAGAAGATTACAAAATGGGATCACATGACCCTGGGATATTGCAAGTTTCATAAATGTCAGTTACCAAGCATATGAATTTTGATCATTTCACCATGGGGATATCATAAGTGTGAAAAACAGTCATAAGTCACTTTTTTCAGTGCTATTATAACTTTACATATCACTAAACAAGTGGTTGTAAATCAAGGACTACCTATACTGGGATTTATTTATTTATTTTAATTGAAAAATCTTCTGCTGATAAAATCTAAAATAGCATTTGCTTCTTAGCAGTTACTTCATACCACTAACTCATATTTAGCTTGGGACCAGAACTAAAATTCCAGAATTATTTTCATACTTGCCATTAACTGACCCAAATATGCCCTCCACACCTCTATGTTTTACATTTGTTTCCTAATTGAAAAACTTTTCATTTGCCTTAATTTTGCCATTTTCAACTTATTTCTCTTACATATAAGGATCATTTTGAATTTTGCTTCTCTAGTTTAACGTGTCTCACTCAGTGATGTGTCATCTGTACATTTGACGGTTTATCTTTACCTCTTCTTCTGTATTATAAACAAAAAATTCTGAAGAGTATCAATCCAAAATCTAAAATACTTTGATAAGACACTGTTGATGAGCACTCTCTCAATATAGTTTTCAAGATGACTGTGAGTCCACATCACATATAATCCAGTCCTAGGCTATCAATCAGAATATTTTGTTACAATTTATCAAACATCTTGATGAAATTAATATACCTGTGCAGCATTCTGATAGTATCCAATAATATGAAACAAGATTAGTCTAGGACTTTTTTTCTTGACAAATCCATGCTGATTTTTTAGTAATGACTGCATTTTTCCCAAGCATTAAAAGATCAGTTATGATCTGGTACAGAATGGTCCTCAATAAGGATATAAGACCAAGTTCTCTCTAGTTCCTAACATTACAGAATAACAGAGTTGGAAGGGACTTGGAGGCTTCTAGTCCAATCCTCTATTAAAGCAGGAAACCTTATACCATTCTGGACAAATGGCTGTTGAATCACTTCTTAAAGCCTCCAGTAATGGAGCATTCACAACTTCTGGAGGCAAGCCATTCCACTAATCGTTCTCACTCACAGGAAATTTGTCTTAAATTCCATGTCAGATCTCTGTTAAGCTTCCATTCATTTCTTCTTGTCTTGCCTCAGGTACATTGAAGAATAGGTTAAACCCCCCCTTTTCTGTGACAGCCCCTCAAATATTGAAAGACTGCTATCATGTCATCCCTAGTCCTTTTCTTTGTTAGACTAGACATTCTCAGTTCCTACCACCATTCATTGTATAATTTAGCTTCCATTCCCCTAATATCTTTGTTGCTCTTCTCTGCATTCCTTCTAGAGTCTCAATATCTTTTTGGGTCGTGCTGACCAAAACTGGATACATTATTCCAAGTATAGTCTTACCAGTGCAGTATAAAATGGTACTAACACTTCACATGATCTTGATACTATCCCTTTCTTGATGTAACCTAGAACTGCATTGATTTTTATGGTACCTGCAACATGTTGCTGGTTCATACTTAAGGGATTGTCCACTAGGAATGCTAGATCTCTCTCACAGTTATGCCGTTGAGGCAGGTACCACCTATTCTATATCTGTGCATTTGGTTTTTCTTGCCAAAAGTAAGTGTAAAACCTTACACTTTTCTCATCACTGAATTGCATTGTGTTGAATAAGGCCTTTTTGTTGATAGGACATTTTGTTGGATAAGGATTCCTTCATTCCTCTTTTAAAAATAATGTGACTCCATCCGGTCATCTGCAATTCCTTGTTAGAATCAGATGACATTTTCAAGCAATAGTACTCTTTCAATGGAAAAAATATAGGCAGTCCTCAATTTAGGATTATTTGTTTAATGATGGTTCAAAGTTATAATGATGCTGAAAAAAGTGACTTACAATGTTCTCAAATTTGGAACTGTTGTACCACCCCCACAATCATGTGATAATGATTTGGACACTTGGCAACCAGTGTTCATTAAAAACAATTGCAGCATCTTGTGGATGAGTGATCCCAATTTGCAACCTTCCCATCCAGCTTTCAACAAACAAAGTCATTGAGGAAAGCCGAATTTATTTCATGATCATGTAATTCACTTTTTTTAACAGAAGAACTTTTCTCAATTTGTGTTCTTAACTTTTTCTTTCATTGTCTATCAGCAACAGCAGCAGCAGTCCCAGCAACAGCCACCCCAGCAGCAGGCCCAGCAGCAGCAGCAGCAGCCCCCACCTCCAGGTCCCAGATTACCCCCAAGACAGCCAACAGTAGCATCACCAGCTGAATCTGAGGATGAAAATCGTCAGAAGAATCGTCCACGAACAAAAATTTCTATAGAAGCTCTGGGTATTCTTCAGAGTTTTATTCAAGATGTAGGCCTGTATCCGGATGAAGAAGCAATCCAGACTCTGTCAGCCCAGCTCGACCTACCAAAATACACAATTATTAAGTTCTTTCAGAACCAGCGATACTATGTCAAACACCATGGAAAGCTGAAAGATAACTCAGGCTTAGAAGTAGATGTGGCAGAATATAAGGAAGATGAGTTACTTAAGGATTTGGAAGAGAGTGTCCAAGACAAAAGTACGAACACACTTTTTTCAGTTAAATTAGAAGATGAGTTATCAGTAGAAGGGAACACTGACTGTAACACTGTATTGAAAGACTGATAAAAATAGTATTTATTCAACAGCATCTCTGCTTACTAATAAAAAGAAAAATCCATCCTGTATACTGTCATCAACCTCTTTTGTCATTGTTTGGCCTATGAATCTTCCAAAACTTGCACAAAAGTTGAAAAAAAAAGGATAATACAGACTGCACTAGATATTTTACAAACTGCTTCAGTGATAGAAATGAAGCATTGAAGATTGTTTCATATTAATTTGTGTTCACTGGGTACATCAACATGTATCCAATAAGCATGATATCTGTGGATTGTTTTTCTTCTTATTGTTGTTGTTATTATTCTAGAGCTTTCAGACAAGCATTACTTTGTGACTTACTGTTTTTATTTTTTCCCAGTTATTGTTAACACTCCACACTTGATCTATGAAAGCTTAACATTTATTTAAGTAAAAGATAAAAGAAGAGTTAGTTACTCTTGCTCTATTGTATGTTACAAAAGAACTATAGACTGTGAAATGCAGTTTAAAGTTCACATATGCCAACAAATGCCTTGTATTATATGGCACTGCCGTAACTCAGATTTTTTTTTCAAAAGTAAGAAGTCACTGTATCTTTTTCATTTTCATTTGTTATACGAATTTTTGAAAGCAAAATGTGAATCATGGTTTTTCCCATTATTTATTTGTAGATCTTTAAATATCATATTGTAATTAATTTTAGAAGTTTCCGTTAAATGTAATATTGCTTCTCTTGTTACCATATTGGGTTTTTTTTCTATTTATAAGTGTATTTTGATGGGCAGTAAAACAAAGTGTCTTAAAAGTTTTAAATAGAAAAAAATGTGCTTTACACAGTTGCCTATAAAAAGTGCTCTATGTTATCCAAGCAATTCATACTATAAGCTTCACTCTTATTGTTGTATGCAATTTTTACTATCATGCAAATAAGCTTAGGTAAATCAAACTAATAGATCACCTTAGAAACTTATGCAATTAATGTGAAAATAATTGATGTTTGCAATGTGTCTTCCTTTGGTTTACAATCAATTTTAAAGCTACAGCTGTATAAATTTTCTGTATAAAGGTGTATTTCTTTTTTATGAGTTTATTGCTATGAAAACACCAGTTATTTTGTTACAGCTGGCTGTTTTTATAAGTGTATCACAATTTTCTTTATGCAGAAATGTTCTGACTAGGAGTGGTTATTGACTGTAACTACACAATTAAAATTGTTTGTATGGTATGATATGGTAAGTTTTGTGTGCATTTGTGTATCTTATAGAAACAACACAAAAAAGTGTGTTGGACTTTTTATTAATTATCTTAAAACATCATTTTTAATCACCTTAGCAACAACTTATATTCTGGATTTTTAATTATCCCAAACTATGAAACTGAAAAGATGCTTTTCAGAAACTCAGTTTTACTGTAAAAATTATAACCTGTCTCGTCTTGGTTTTAAAAGTTGCCTGGCAGACAAAGATAGCAGGATATTATTGAGTCAAAAGGCTATCAGGCAAAAACATATTTACAGTTCCTGGCAGTAATGCACTTATAATGAATGCAGCTGGTTTTGTTTTACAATATTTAAATTTATGATAACATTGATTCTTACACTAACATATACACAGTTTAAGATAACCATTAGGAGACACAAACAAAAGAGGAAGGATATACAGTTCTTTGGTAGGTAAGATTTTATTTAATAAACTTTAATAATGATGTTGATAAAAAAATTATAGGGTTTTGATTTCACATTTCATGTTCAGGCTTGTAAAAGCTGATGTGATGATGCAAAAGGATACTAAGGGATGTATGGCTTAAAAAAATAAAAGCATATTAAGTCCATAAATTCCATTAAAACGTTTAAATGGAAATTTAAAGTAATTATATTGCAAGGCTCATAATTATTACTGTGTTTATGACTACAATAATTCTTGAAGAAGTTACATTTTGGACTATATACTATGTTTTATAAAAGATAAGTAGTTTTCACTGCTGTTGAAACTTATTTCCAATTTACTAGCAGCACTAGTATGATGTATGGCCAGCAAATTCAAATGCTTGAGCATTAGATTGTGGAGAGCTAGCTTAGTGTTAGTAAAACAAACCACCCAAAATGTCATATTAATATATTCTCCGATTTTTGACTTGCCAGTACAGCTAACAGAAATGGCAAACCTCTATATGCTTTAGATGAACTATAATTTAATGTGTCACCCAGTTCTTAAACTGTGTTTGATCTTAACCATGGTTTGCTCAAACCAATTGATAGCTTATGATTTGAAATTGGCTTCTATTGCCAATCAATAAGATGAATCAGCTTGACACTAGAATGATAAGACAAATCATAAAACAAGGAAAATACATTTACAGTTGCATGTGTTTTTGGCAACTTGACTAATAATTAAGAGGTTTAATTAAGTCTATGAAAAAAAGCTACTAAGTAAGAAGGCTAGTTTTAGTTGTTTTTAGGAATTAGCTTCACATATATCTATATGTAAGAATGAATGGGAACACAGTTCACCAAACTAAATGTCTTGCTGGTTATTTGTATCAAAATGTCCCACTTATAATGCTATTTGGTTGCATTTTGAGGCAACAAAAGTCAAAATGGCTTGAGTGATTTGTTAGAGCAAATCTGAAAATCACAAGTGTCTATATAATTTTTTTTCCTTTGGCTAATTTTAGGACACTTGATTGTTTGCATGGATTTCCATTTCATTTTCTCATATATTCCTAGGTTGAAAAATTAACCTTAGGTTTGTCTAGAGTTCCCATTGTTTCTGCAATCCATAAGTCAATCCAGTCCCAAAGCTTTAAACAAGTGGAACATTTGAAAGAATGATTCTTGAAGTGACAAAGTTTTCTTCATGCTTGTTTTCTTTTGAGTTGTAAACATTTGAAAATATTTTTGACTTCAAAAGATTTATCATATCCTTAGAACAATTATGCACACCAATTGCCAAGTGCCTGAAGTACAATCACATGTTCATGGGGTTGGAGAAGTAGTTGTAACTGCAAAATTAGGTCATAAGTAGCCTTTTAAAAGTCCATCTTAATTTCAAATGGTCAGTAAATTAAAAACTACCTGTACTTCCTTCCTCCACTTTGTGTCACTAATGGTCAATAATTTGCCATAAAACTTTAGCATTACAGTTTGGTGGGGGGATGCTGGGAACCATTACAACATGGGAAAGGGACTATATTCTGCAAGTTGCTTTAAACCTGAAGGAAATGTTCTATGACTCAAAAAAAAATCACACTGATTGAAAACTAGTCATTAGTGCTGTGCTCCTATATAAATTGCTTGGAGGCCTCATTTATGACGATGTATTTAAGGTAACACAAAGCTTGCATTGAACAATAAAATAAAATTGTGTGTTTAATACTGAGAAGACAGATCTCCTACAAAACAAATTTCAGTTCATATTTCTTTCTCATTTATGTAACTGTAGTCTATGACATCCAGGATGAGAGAACTCCAGCTTTAAATAATTTAGCGGGGAGGGAGAGACAGAAGACAGTTTAGCCGATTGTGATTGGTAGACAACATTGCATAACACTTCAGTTAGTGGTTGACAGCTCCAAATAGAACAGAAATATCCTGTCTTGAAGGTTTGAAGGGCAAGACTTCTGTTTCTGCACTGTACTATTTGATTCTGTTTTCCAACAATTAACATAGCAGTGACATAGCTTATAAACACATTGTCAGTACAAATGTTAAATCTTTAAATTATTATTGATTTAATTTTGACATAATACAAGTGGTTCTTAACTTTTAGCCTTCTATAATGTGTTATTTCAAAAGGGTTAGATTTAATTTGGGAATATTGTCCAATGGCTGGAATCCAAATATTAAAACATCCTTAGTTTTAAAAAAAAAGTTTACTAAGAGGTGATAAGAAAAATTTAGTCTAAAATAAAATGCAATTACTTAATCAAAATTTAGACTTCCTATATGAAATGTTCTAAATTAAAATTCTGACCAATTTCTTATTGGACAAAATTCTCAAGTGTTTTTTAATCATTTTATTGCTTTTAAAATAATAACATAAAAAAACTAAAAGGAGCAAAACACAAAAATACTGCAAATTGCAGTAAAATGCTTAAGAAGTGCTTTAAAAAGATGAAAAAATTGAAAAAATAAAGTATAATATGTTGTCACAGTAAACAGTTACAGTTCTATATATAATTACCTAATTCAAACATGATATAAGTGTATTTTTGTGTATGTGTATTACACTTGCTATCCTGCTTTTTTAGCCTGTATTTTGTATAAATGAGTCCCATATTTCATTATGTTTATCCATGAAAATTCCATTTCTATAGGCAGTCTGTTCATAGGTATCAAATGTAATCTGTTCTTCAGTTCATTGAGTAAATGGGTCCATAGATTTATCTTTTCAATGTGGGAATATCAGTCTTTTAACTATAAGAAGTGCACATACAATCAATTTACACTGTCCAGTTGTCAGATTCCATGTACTAGAGATGTAATTCAGAAAAAATATTATCTTCTGAAAATTAAAAGTTTTGTTGCATACATTCTTCCCAGACTTAGTAAGTATAGGACATGACATGTGTTTTAAGGAAGCATTGTCCTTACAAATCCAACAAAATGCTGTCCTAGACATTCCTTTTCTATACAGATATAATGAAATCCAATACATTCTAAATATTAGTTATAATTTAATGTTTATGTCATCTTGCTATAGAAGTTAAAACTCTTCTATTGTCTAGGAACCTCTAATTCTTTATACTACTTATCTTATAACATCTGCATATCACTTAGATTTATTGATAATAAATATCTATAAAAACTAATAGTAGGGTTTTCTAAGTTTAAAAGTTTTAAGCAGTTGTGTTGGTATATCAATTATCTCAGAAGCTGAAATCACTGCTGTCCACACAATATTGTTAACATGCTGTAGCTGAAAATAATAACACTGAGTTATATCTGATAGATTTTCTCTCAGAACAGTATATGTTTAAAATTCATCCTCATCATCTATCAATTTGTCTAAGTCAATATCCCTGCTTTTATCCCATTTTTTCCATATCACAATTTTTTTCCAACTTTTAATGCTGTATTACTTCATAAAGTCAATTTAAATTCCATAGTTTTCTAACTTGATATTACTGTTTATGGAGATGGAAGGAAAGGGAAGGGAAGGAAGAATTTTTGATGCTCAATGCCAGATTCTCATAAAGAAACTTAAAGAGGAAGCTGGCAGGAAGTCAGAAGCCACTCTCACTCTTTCTGCATTTTTGCTCATCCTTGGTTCTTCTGTTTCTCTGTATAAGTAAGAAATAACTCTGAAAGAATGACTCAGTAGTGCACAGGTTGTTTAGTGAACTATTAAATTCAGAATCAGGGAACCCTCTTAGACTTCACGTATATATTAGGAAAGGGTTTATCAGTTTGGTAACAGAACCAATTTATTTTGTTGCTTAAGATCTATGAACCAAGAGACCAATCACTCTCTATCAGCCCAACCCATTTTACAAGCTGGTTGTTGTGAGGAAAATAGGAAGAAGAAAGAGTACTAGCTATATTTTCCACCTTGAGTTATTTATAAACATGAATAAAAATGGTACAAAAATAAATAAATAAATTTTATTGCTGTAATGACCAGAAGAACCAACTCGCTGATGTTGATGGGTGTATATTAAACATAAAAATGGAGTAATATGCAGAGAAAAAAATATACGACCATGTATATGACATTTATATGACATATTTGGTCTTGCCAAGTTGCCAGTACTTAACATCTAATTCCTCACCCAAGTCTGACCAAAGAAGGATTGTACCTTCTACCTTGTAAAGCATTGCTTAGTTACTGGAAAGAATATGATTACAAGTTCACATGTATACTAAAATTTCCAGTGTGAGGGGCGGATTATTCAAAAGCAGATACATAGTCTTCACATTTGGAGAGAGTTTTCCAAGTAAACAATAGGTGATGAGCAGAATATTCAAATTGCTGCTTTTTTTACCTCCCTATTTCCAGGATGAAATAGTGAAAAACAAGTCTCCAGAAGGATTAATCAAATTTTCTTGTTAGCCTTCCACGCAATAGGAAGTGAGATGTTCTTGAGAGTGCAAGGGTTCTCAAAGTGGTAGACTAATAGCAGTTTTAGGTTCAGGTCACCAGAAGCATTGCCATCTAGAACACATGATGATTGTGATCATGATCATGATCATGATCACAATCATGATGATGATGATGATCATGATGATGG